TCTCTCTCTCAATCTCTCTCTCTCTCAATTTCTCTCTCTTTCACTCAATCCCTCTCTCTCACGGCAGGCCATGGAACTAGTCCGCCTCCTCGCTCGAACCGGGACTGACCATCACCGTCTTCGTTGCGGGCTCCTGTCTGAACTCAGGCTTCCAGCCTATGGCTCCGTTACGAACTTCGAATCTCCAGCCAGCTGAGACAGCAGCGACCTTGGTCCGCCTTACTAAGAGGGTAGTCTCTCCGAGGTTGTAATCTGACTATGCAGATCTGAGGTGTATCTTATCTCAAAGTTCGAAGGTATCCGACCAAATTTTCACAGGGAGTTTTCTCACGATTTATAGTTTCTGTTTTTACCAGTTAAAGCCATAACTAATGAATGTGGATGGCAGGTATGTCCAAATTCATGTACATGTCCTCAGGTTTTGCGATGCTGGCACTTGTGCGTCTCTCTTTCCCTGTGCAAGCTCGTAAGTCAACCGAGGTGATTGCGCCCCACCTCTGTACGCCAGCGGGAGGCGGAGATCACCAGTCTCTCGCCACCCCCTTTCCTACCGCGCACCGCTCCTGGGGAGCGCACGCTCGCCTCTTCCTGTTCTGAACCGGGCTGCAAAGTGGGCGGGGTACACCTGGCAAGCCGATTCCAGCCTCCGTCGCCCTTTTGTCGTATAGAACTGTGATGTCAACCGGGACGGATTTCACGCCCCTTCCATCAACTTGCTTCTCAGAGCGTAAGAGGTGGACGGTGTACACCTGGCACTTCCCCCAAAAGCTCCTCCGTCCGTGCATACCCCTTGTCTCTCCCGACGACCTGCCGTCCAAAGCAAAAGAGGTGGGCGGAGTACACCTGGCGCACCCCCTGCCGGTTCCCTAGTCTGAATGTCCCCCGCACTTTGGTTTGTGCGCCTATATCCTGTTTCCAACTTTGGCCCCCAGATTAACTGGTCCCTCGAAAACACCGAGAACTTTCGTGCCAGTGGCCTTGAGTCGGCCCAGGTACCGAGGGTCTTTGGCAGCTGGTCTGCAGCAGTGCTTATGCGAAATCAATAGTGCCCAAAATGTTAACATCAGACCACAGGCCATACCAAGTAGTGTCGTCCCTGTCGGTCCTAACGTAGTAAGTTTAAATCGCAGCAGCCTGAACCGCCACCATGGCAGTGGTGAACCTGAAGTAAACATCCCAAGCCACAAAAGCCCCGTCGTGTCGACGCCGAACCTGAAATATTCCTTCTCGAAGTGCCGTAGCCGATGCCATTGTCATACCAGCGCCGCATCTGGAAGTAATCCCCCAACCTGTAGTAACGTCCCGTACCCACCCCGAGCCTGAACAGCAGCCTGCGCCGTGACCACACCGTCGATGCCGAATACCGTACCGTGCAGATGTGGCAGTACCGGACCTGTTCCGAACCAAAGTACCATACCGGAAAATACCGAATGTAGACCCGCACAGAGCTGCACCAGTTCCAAACCCCTAAGAATGAGAACAGGCCGTAGTACCCTGTCCCAGTGTCGTTTCAACATCAATGGAGAGAAATGCAGCAGTTCCGCAACAGAAAAGGGCATCGCCCCGGAAAGTACGACCGTCAAACCACTCCATACCGGCCATGTTCCGAACCTGAAAAATAAGTACCAGCCCGCTGCACCGTGTCGACGCTTAACCAACAATTGTACCAATCGAACCAGCGGGCATGTTGATGCTGGACCCGTGGAATCATGCCGTGTTAGTCTCGACCCTGCCCCGAACCTGAATGTCGGGCCCGAAACATGTAGAATACCATAGAATACTGCAATCCCGTAGTAATACCGAACCTGGCCGGAACCGAAGTGATGAGCCCGAACCGAACCAACGGCAGCATAAAACATAATAATGTCGGCCATCTCAAAGTTGTATCAGTGGTAACACCACACTGTCCGTCTCCCCCGCACTTATAGCACACAGGTCACGGTAAGACCATAAATCAGGGGAATCAGGCAAATCATGCAAGCAAATCTTAATCGTCGCAATGTAGCGAAAATCATCAGAGTTAGAGTAAAAACAAATCCGGGGGTAATTCCGATCACAGATAAATGGAGCAAAATTGGGTCGGTTTTCCGATAATCATGACTTCTTTCTTCCTCATTATTTTATTTATTTCTGTTATTCCTTAACTCCATTATCGAAAATATCGAAAATAAAAGCGATCCTGTCAAAAATAAAACCCGATGGATCTCAAATAAATAGCGAAATTCCTTTGTTTTCTCTTTCTTTTATTGCATTCGTCCCTTCTTCTCACTTTTAAATATGTTATCAGAAAATCAATAATTTATGGCGATCTCATAAAAAATCTGATATGGATGATTTTAAATAAATTTATGATTATTCAATTTTTCTCTTTTTTTCTTTTGTCTTTAATTATTTTTCTCATTTTTAATTTTAATATTAAATTTAATTAAATGCAGGGCTTCATCCTAGCATCCGTTGGACACCGTAAAAAGCCCTCGCCAAAGCTCACCCTCAATATACCGCCCCGCGGCCAGTCGTTTCGGGAACAGGCCTAGAGCGGGCGGAAACAAGGTTGGCTATAGGGTAGTCGTCGGGGCGGAGAAGCGGTAGTCGCTCTTGTCAATTTTGAGGGCTAGTCTTGGCGGTTGACACATACGAAATTAGGGGTGACCTGACTACCCCTAATTTCTCCCCGCCGGTTGGATAAGACTCCCGACCGATTCCTTTTTAGACAACTTTTCTACGGGTCAATCTCCCGGTATTAGGGCGACCGACTGGCTTTCGGTCGCCCGACAAACAAGCCCGGACCTCCTCTCGACGCCCCTGTCGAGCCCGCTCCGCCAAGATTAGACGAAACGTACCAGGTCTAAATGAACCACTCGCGCTCGACGCGAGTGCCTCCTCTTGTCTGTCTGGCGTATGGGTTTCTTAGGAACTTTGGGGATGAGAGAGTGCTTCTTCCCTCTCTTACGTTGCTGTCGTTTGGACTTCGATACCGAAACATTTCTTTGCTTCTTTCTTCGTTGGGGAGCTCGTGTGTCAGCTGCGCCACCCTTCCTAATGCGGACTCTTCTCTTAGGCCTTTGTAGGACAAAAACCCATTTCCTCTTCTTACCAAGTGTTAGGCCCTTCACTTTCCTGGTTTCTACTCTCTTCCTCTTCCTTAAGCTCTCACCTTCCTCGAATTGTCTCAACGGTCCCTCATCTGCCACTTTAGCTTTCCCTTTTCCACTAGGATCTGATCGCTTCAGTGCAGGAGTAGGAGCCTCCCTTGGCTTAAACAACTTCAGTCTAGCTCCGGACACAGGATCCTTCCAGTTCGATCCATCCAGCTCGACAATCATATATGCTCCCTAGGATAATGCACCGACTACACGGTAGGGCCCCATCCATCTGTTAGCCAGTTTTCCAGTCCATGTCCTCTATAGGGCGGCGTCGTAGAGGAGCACCATATCGCCGACTTTAATCTTTTTCTTTCTGATTTTGACGTTTTTGTCCCATCTCACTTTGTTCTTTTCTCTTTCTACTGCCAGTCGATTGACCGCAGTCATGAGGTTATCCTCCAATCCGTATGCTATCTGTCTAGTCCTAGCGGCTAACAACTCCTCCCGTGTCATGCTATCCGCCCAATCAACCGTAGTCCAACTATCGACGTGGAATTCTATAGGCAGAGGACAGTGCCTCCCAAACCAAAGCGTGTAAGGTGGGTACCCAGTGCTAGCCCGCACCGTAACGTTATCTGCCCATATCGCATATAGGAAATACTTCGGCCAGTCCCTATCCTTTCCTCTACACCACTTGGAAAGTGATGCTATCAATGACTGGTGGCCCCGCTCTACAAGCGCGTTGGAGTGAGGATGATAGGCAGTAGCTATAGACACTCTAGCACCTGCTTTCTTAAATACACTTTGTACCTCATGTGCTAGGAACTCCGCTCCTCTATTTATCACAATCTTATTGACACACCCGTACCTAGACAAGTACTCCAGAACGAAGTTCTTGACTTCTCTTGCGGCCTTCGTCCTAATAGGCTTACCATCGACAAAGCCAGTGAAATCATCCCTGATGTTCACTACATAGTTTGTTCACTACATAGTTCATGTTCGCTACACCCTTCGGCATTTTCACCAGATGAATATGCACTTTCTCTCCTGGTCTAGCAGGATAGGAAGGGTGAAGTGGCACTTTATATCTGACAAGTGATCTCTTTTGACAATCCTTACACGTCTCGCAGTACTTCTCGACATCCTTGTACTGTCCTTCCCACCAATATAGTCTGCGAACTTTCTCATATGTACCCTTTACTCCTCTATGTCCTCCGGCTACACCGTCATGTAACTTAGCTACTATGGACTGCTTCTCCTCTGGGTCACAAATCACCCGAAGAGGCATCCCTGCTCCCACAGGTCGATGAAACAAATGCCCATCTCTAAGGGAGTTTTGTGTCGCCTGTCTCCGGATGTCCGAATCAGTGTTTTCCTTTCCTGACAGATGCAGTCCTATAGTGCGGTACTTACCTTCATAAAGATTGACTAGGAAGCGATCCGTTCGTCTAGGCCCAGCCAAAGTTAGTGCAGCAACCGCTATTGGTCGTTCCGCCTCAATTGGGATCTGTGAAAGTCCGTCGGCCACAACGTTCTTGCCCCTGAAATCCTCTCTACAGTATAGTCATAAAATCGAATCATGATCAGCCATTGTGCGATCGTAGGATCCGTCAAACTGAAATCCTTCTGTAGAACTGACGCTACAGCTGTAGGGTCTACCCTGAGAACGAATCGTCTCCCGTATATGTAATGCCTAAAGGTATCTAAGCACCGTAGAACAACTAACACTTCCTTCTTAAACTGACTGTAGTTGCGTTCAACAGTGTTGAGTGTTCGGCTCTCGAACCTCAATGGTCTTTCTTTCCCTTCAGCATCCTTCTGAGAAAGCAATCCCCCAACCGAACACGGTCCAGCATCCGTAGACACTATGAACGGTCTGTCCGTCTCGTCCTCAAAGAATGACAMACCTACAATCCAGCCGCCTTCTTTAAATTCTTCCTTGAGAGATTGCATTGCAAGCTCATGAGAAGAATCCCAGTAGAACCTCTCGGTCTTCCTAAGAAGTGTGCGTAGAGGCTCTGCCTTTTCCGCATATCCCCGTATAAAGATCCGCCAATAACCAACAACGCCTAAAAACTGGCGAACTTCAGTTGCACTGTGCAAAGGAGTCGGYCAATTCAACAACTTCTCCAGCTTCCCARGGTCGGGGTGTCGGCCTTTAGCGTCGCATATAAACCYTAGGATCTTAATCGTCAACAYGGCCCATCGRCTCTTTGTCCCGCTAACYGTTAGGTTAGCTTYATCTAGCTTTTCCAKAACTGCGTAAATGTCCGTCAGGTGTTGCTCTACGAACCTCTTGACACCAGGAGCGACTTCCGTCTCATCTTTTAACACCGGTCCTTTTATCGGAAAGTCGTCCAGGAAAACTTTTACTTTATCAGGGATAAAGTCTTTCTGAACCGCTACGATGGCTCTCCGAAAGACAGCTACCCCATTGGTCCATCCCATCGGAACGACCATCATCTGCACTAATCCGAGCGGTGTGTGCATGGTTGTGAGATACCTATCTCTCGGATCTAGTGGTATCTCGTCATATCCTGAAAATAAATCGCAGACAGAATAAATGGATCTGCCTGCCGCTCCTTCTGCTAATAGATCAGCATGCGGTACGCAGCCTACATCTCGAATTGCCACCGCATTGACCTTCTGAAGGTCTTGAATCCACCGAATCTTTCCATTACGCTTCCTCAAGAAGAACCATCTATTTGAATACGCGCTATCACATAGTTCAACTACGTGTGATGCCATCTTCTCTTTGAGAAAGGAGATCACCTCTTCTTTTTCTTTCTGAGCAAACTTCCACCCTGCGTCATTCCATGGTGTATGCGGCATCGTGTAAATCCTTGCAGGCTTAGCATACCTATGATCAATCCTTCCTCTCTCCGCATCACTGAATGCTATAGCTTTGTCGCAGGACTTAAGGACTTCCAACACTCGCATTTTCTCCGGCTTAGTTAGATTCTCATYGCCTATGTYCATCTCCGCTWTCCTCTTTTTTGTCAGYCGTTGCGGCTCCTTTCTCTTCTTTTCTTTAATCTCTCTAGCGATCCCTTCCTCAGATACTCCATCTAACGCTGATCGCTCTCGAGCTACGGCAGCCGACTTAACCTTTTGAGCTACCATCTTGTGTCTTTTTGGTCGCCCCCCATAGGGGGCTGCGCCCTTAAAAAAAACACARATATCATCCCTCCGAATTCCTCTTCTTCAGCTTTGGGATAAGAGTTCCCTCCCACACGGACACGAGTGCCTAAATCCTCGACTTCCACTATCCGATCTTCTTCTTCTGTAAGCAGGGGCCCATACTTCTTTTCGCGAAAGCTCAATGAGCGACTCGCAAGGGGAACCGGTACGCGGCCCCCTGCAGCGAGAACCGCTCTGTTCCTCGGGTCACAAGGCTCTACCGTCTCCATCATAATCCGCCCACCGTCTGGACGCTTGATGGAAAGCATCTCGCTTCCATCCGGCCATTCTATAGTAACGGCATGGACGTGACTCAACCATCTCCGCCCCAATAATAACTCTGCGCTGCAATCCCGAACTGCGAAAATAGACATCATCACTCTCAGCCCTTCGACCTCAATCGCAGCCTTGTGGCAAACCCCGGTGACTTTCTGCTTTCTTCCATCGGCGGTCTCTATCTCAAATTTGAAYGACTTATCAAGGTCTAATCCCAACCGAATCGCCAGACCCTCATCTATGATAACAGCCTCGCTGCCGTTATCAATTACTGCATGAAGAACTATCTCGTCGTTGAGGGTAGTCTGTACTCTCCCACTGCCCAGGATATAAAACTTGCCAGGAGGCACTCCCTCTATGTCATCCAAGAACACCGTTGCAGCACGATCTGCCTTAGCGACCACACTAGATACTGCTACTGTGGGTATCTCCTCCTGTTTGGTTGCCATCTGGACTTCGTCACTCAGAGGAATACGTGTCTTGCGCGTAATCATCTGCAGCTCATCCCGCGCTGGCCTCGAGGCCGCCAAGTACTCTAGGATCGTGCACTACATAGGTTGCCTGAGAGCGCGTCTAAGAGGTTCGACCGTGTCTATGTCATCTAGGGTACTCTTCATCGTGAACTTTCTGGCCCCACGTTTGCGTGGGGAAAGTATAACCTCTTCTTCTTCAATCCTCTGCCCGTCCTTTTCCGCCATCACATAGTCAGTGTCAGGCTTCTTAAAGGAGGATGCCCTGGCGGACTTAGTCGCTGCCACCCGTATGGGTGTCATAGGACTCTCCTCATCAGAAGATAGACTCAGTCTCATGCTCTGGGTTCTTGCGACTCCTTTGCCCTTAATCGGTAGTACTCGCCTAGCCTCCACGTTCTTTTTCATTGAAGGAAACATCGACACATCTCCGAGGTTATCCACCCACTTGACGTACTTGCGATCATCAAGTACGAAGCCCCTCATCTATTGCCCGTTTGAGGTCAGGGCAGTCTCTGTTGAGGTGATCGTCTCCTCTGCAATAGATACAGGAGTTCCTAGGTGTAGGGGGTYGTTCCTCCGCGGACTTAATCGCCKGTCGTYTCGCATGCTGGTTGGATGGCCCAGGGGATCTAGGGTAGCTTGGGGACTTGGGATATCTCGGCGACGCAGGATATCCTCCTCTCTCATACTGTCCTCGTGAATCTTCTCTACGATCGCCACCTYTCTCTGTCCGCTCGTAACCGCTTCGATATCCATCTCGGCGGTCCCTATCCRATTCCCACCGAYTGCGGGAGTCCTCTCTATCCCTCGAGTTAAAGTTACCCGGACTCCGGTACCCTTCGGCATTCCCACYGTATCTGGGACTGCGCSGGTACCGGTCCCTGGGACTGCGTGGATACTGGTCRGCTYTGTCTCCTCGACTGTAAGAATCTACCTCTCGATATCTATCACGCAGGCGGTCTCTGTCTATATTATCATCCCTGCGCCTCCTCTCGTCGTCCTCTCTACGCCTCCGATCATCCTCATCTTTGCGCCTTCGATCCTCCTCATCCCTACGTCTAAGATCCTCCTCATCCCTACGTCTACGATCCTCTTCATCTCTACGTCGCCGCTCATCTTCATCTTTTTCCCTCGCGCGGTAATCAGCCAGTGTGCGAGGGTTACGGTCTTCGACACTCCTCCATGGGTCGGTGTTCCGACGATCCCACCGCAGAGAGTAGGGGGATCCAGGCTTATCCCGGTACGTAGTTACGACCTGCGTTTCAAAATTTGCCATTTGCCTGGCCATTTCCTTCATCTTTTCTTGCATCTCCTCTATTACCGCATCCTTATCCTTCGTCAGTTGGGATCCATCTCTATCCATCAGATAACGTCGCTCAGCCCAAGGTTTGTCATTGAAATCTGGGCACCTATCGGTCCCGTATTCCTGATAGAGGGAATAATCCCGGCGCTGCATGCCTCTCCAGAGTAAGTCCTTGTAGTCATCCGCCTCAACCTTCATGGCCAACTTAAGTAACGCCGTAAATTCTAACTTATCGTAAGGCGTCTCTCTCAGCACTGCCTTTTGCTTTCCTCTGGGTAGCTGGCTAAGGAAGATCGTGCATCTATAAACCTCTGACGACTTCCCTCTTGTCATAAGAGCATCAGATACCTTCTGGAACATCTTTCCGAAAGCCCGGACGCTCTCGCCCTCCCCTTGGGTAAGCTGCTCCAAATCTCGGATAAAATACTTAACATCTTCTAGTTTGTAGAGTACATATTTGCTTTATAAGTAGCCCATCGCCTATCTTTGGGTCGAGCCTCTTTAATCTCCTGACTCAAGCTTGGGTCCACATTAAACAGGAAGTTGTCTATAATCTCTTCCTCTGTCCACCGACTTCGGTAGCCGTGCAACTCCCATTTTTCGATATATTCAGTGATACCACACCCTTTGAAAACGGGAGGTCTGGTATCCAATTCCGAGGGCTGATGCGAGATGATGAACCTATCTTTCGTCTCGTATGGCAGGGGGTGAGATTCCCCTGTCTCAGGGTCAAATACCCGTCTGGACATCGCAACTCTCTCCCTATCCCTCCATAATTGCTCTCTAATAAATTGATCCCTCCATTCTTCTCCTGGTAAGTAGCCTCTATCCTTCCTACGCTCATATACAGATGGGCGTTGAATAAACGATTCACGTCGAAAACTCGGAGGCTCGGTCTGTATCTCCGGTCGTTCTACTGGCGCAGCCCTGTTGGGCTTGGTAACGGCAAGAGGTGCCATTACCTCGGGCTCGCCGTCGTCCGGCTGCTCTACACACCTCAAAGGGGCGTTTTGTCAAAGACGCTCCTTGAGATCTCGCAGAGCCCGGTCCGGCGACGCTCGATACACCGCCCGATCCTCGTTCGGATGCGGTCCCTTTGTATCAGATTTCATATATTTTCCCTCTTCTGATTTAGTGGTTCAACACCAACAGCCTGGACCTATAAATGAATTCGCAGCCCGGACCTATGAATGAATCCGCAGCCCGGATCTATGAAAGAATCAATCACTCGTCTGCCACCGCTCTCAGGATCGCAACAAGTCTTCCAGCCTCGTCTTGTATCTCGTGCTCACCCTCGATACGTAAAATCCCTAAGTAAAAATAAAGCCCACCCTCCTGCTCTTCTATGCATCGAATACCTCTCCTAATTTCTATGAGTCCGGACTCTGATATCCTCACTCTCCTACAAATCCCTGTCGCGATCCTCATCAACTCTTCCGGTGCACAAGAACGCAAACTCTCTTGTAGGTTGACCGATGTCCTCCGCGCTAGATCACTCAACCCTTGATGTGCGACGTGAGCTCCTGCGAGCGGGTAATCAACCCCTTCGGCCATCAAAATTAAAGTATCGAAGTGCTAAGCCAACCACTGCCTTATTGCTCCTCCCTCGAACCACTTGACGCGGAACAGGAGGTCTGGGCAACCCCTGAAAGAGCGTTACCCGGGTGTCCTAGATTACCTCCTTACCTAGCGCTTGGAGCCTATCCCGCTCATTCTCAACGACTTCTTCCGCGCTCACCCAGCACCGTCCGTAAATCAAATCGCTCTCTCGCTCACCTGGGAGGTAAATCCTAACATCGTACACCTCAACAGCTAGGAACCCAGCAGTGATAATGTAGAGACGTATCTGCTCCCAACCGCTGTCCACTAGGTCATAGGTCATTACCTCGTACGGAATAACCTCTCTTCGCCCTAAGGAACTCAATCTCTCGCAAATTTCTGCTAACACCCCATCCGAAGGTCTGTTGCCCGCAAAAAATCTCTCTCTTCTCGACTGCAATTCCCTTTCTAAGATAGTCGTATCTTTACTCATTCCCTTATGCTATTCATCCCTAGTGGTCTTTTTGAACTTACCCTCAATCTTGACTGTCCGAGCGAATCCAACTACAGCCTTCCATTTGTTTTGCTCTAACCCTTGAGATGGAACAGGCGGCCCAGGCAGACCGTCAAAAATAGTAATGTCGTCGCAGACCTCCACAGTCTTTCTCGAACTTTTTAACCTCTTTTCCTCTTCTCTTAATGCCCAAGCAGCTCTCCTCCAGGTCCTTACGTATAAGCAAATTTCTTCCCTCTTTTTAGGCATACCAACGTGGTACACCTCTAAGCCATGAAACCGCACGGTCATAACATAGTATTGATTGCGTTCGATTCCACTGTTCTGTACTTCATACTTAACTACCTCATATGGAAACACTTCTCGCCTTCCAATAACGCTCAATTTCTTAAGTATTCTGTCGTGCTCGGATCCACTAAAACCACTCCAACCTTCGAATTTCCACCTTCTCCTCGATAGTCCCGCCTCTGGTAGTGACATCTCTTACAATCTCCATGAAGTGTCTAACATTCCGCCTCTATTAGAGCTAAGACCAATAGGATCCTGTCCGTCGATTCCTCTAAAAGCTCATAGAACGCCCCAAAATCGTTTATATCTCCAAATTTTCCAATCGCGGCTAGCGTCCAAAGGAACTCACTCTGGTACTGGTCGTGTGCTTTGTAAATTCTTAAAACAGAGCTCTCTGTTATGACCTTAGCAAAGTCTCCAGACACTTCGGCTTCACTCTTCAGGAGTTTCTCTGCCTTTGCGGGAGTCTCGCGTCACGCTCTGCTCAATGTCGCTCCATCGAAGGGGAAAAGGCGCAAGGAATAACGGATCGATCGCACATCTCTTTCCCCCACCCAGAGTCCAGTCACCCGCGCCTTTTGAACGGCGTCTCTAGTGCTCTCTGCCTCCTCGTTCACGGTGAGCTTCTGTAGTTGCTCCAACCGTATTTTAACACAAGCGGTTGGCCCTTCCAACTTTCCTATAACTCGCATAGAACACCTTTCGGAGCTCATTCTCCCTTCTCATCCCACGTCACTATCAACGACATCTTTCTTTTCTCCTGACGTTGCAGTCTCTATCAACTCCTCTTTCCTTCTTGTCGACTCAAGTGATCCTTCGTCTCCTTGCCCTCTCCTATTGACACTCTCTACAAATTTTAACCTCCACCTTCTAAGGAAGTCTCTGTCCCTTATAAAAAGCCTTCTCACGGCCTTCGTCGCACCTTCTATTTTGTGCAGTTCACTCTTTTCCTTGTTAGGCCCGCAATCATGAATCTGAAGGCTGACTTCCTTGACACGTTCAGCGATGCGTTTAACAATACGCTCCTCTATTCTCTTCTCTCCTCCTTCTAGATCTTCCATCTTCCACGATCCATCTTTCTTTTTTTCCTGAGCTTCTATCACATATTGCTTCGAGCTTCCGCGGGTGTCTCATCCCTAATTATCTCCAAACGCACGTTTCTCTTAACGCATACGATTACCTCATATACCACCCAACTCTGCGTCGTCAATTCCCTCAAGGCCCCAGGTCTCTGCTCTCGTATAACGTCTCCTGCAAGTTCTTTGAACTCGCCGTCTGACAATTCTTCTTCTATGCTCACCTTCAAAAGAATCTGTAGGGTCTCGCTGTCACACGCTAATTGCCTAGAAACAACCCGATCATAGGGAAGGCGTTGCTGAGGGGAGAGGCTCCTTGTCTCAATTTCTCGAGTAGCTACTCGAGGGTTCCTCTCGCTCACATTCCTCCAGGAGTCGGATCCTCTGCGGTCCCACCGGAGCGAATATGAGGCTCTGAGTCTGTATCGATACAGTTGTTGTTCGCGCTCTGCCATGTCCGGGGGCTCGTATCCTACTCTTAGCTTCCGCTACCGTCTCATCAAAGAACAACTCGGCTCGTAGGTACCCTGCTGACCACACCATCACCTCGTACGATATCTTTGTCTGAAAGGTTACGCATTCGAGAACTCCTGGTCTATATTCTCGGATGAACTCCCTGGCTTGTAGGAAACTCTCTTGCTCTGTCAGGTTGTCGTCTATGTGAGCTCTCAGTGAAACTGTAATCGTAAAGCCCTCGTTAACTAATTGCCTGCTCACATTAATCCCAACAGTCATACGTCCTAGCATCCCTTCTGCTCTTTATGCTCAAATAAGTATCTCAGGTCCTCCAACCCGACGTGCTTGTCTTCTGCGCGCCTTCGACAAGAGTGAATCAGATTTGCAGGTCTTAGAAAGTCTGCCCAGCAGGTAGCATCTATCAAGTCTCTCCGCGTCTCCTTATCTGGAGGTCCCCATTTTACGCAGACTGAGTAGTATGCTTCTAGGAATCAAGGCTCTAGCCCTAGTAAGAACGCGTGCTGAGTGTGGTCGACTGCCTTTCTCAAGCAGTCTACACTTCCGTAAGTTTGTTCTATAACAGACTAAGGTAATACCATCCGCCAGCTCCCTATCGGATGGTAAATCTGTGGAGGAGAACCGATCACGATTCGCGTGGTAAAAGGCCTACCTCCAGCCATGCTAGCCAGTCGTCTTCTCATTATGGCCTCTGCTAAGATCTCATATTTCCACCAGATTCTGCTAGCGCCTGCAGGCGTCAGCCCTATCTCTATATCTCTCGCCTCATCAAACACAAGATGTCCTATACCCTTCACCCGTCGGAGGAATCCCTGGTCCTCCGTAATCACTGTCCACAAGAAAACCCCTTTCGCCAGCCAAGTGCCATAATGTCGGATTGGCACCCAAGTTCCTTCCTCTAAGCGCACCGGAAGTGACACATCATATCCCAGCGTCGCCTCTCTCGGCCCTATCAAGTCTTTCACTCTACGGGACTCTGATCCTCGTGTCCACACATACGTCAACCGGACGTCACAATCGCTCCTCATCACCACACGCCGCTCATTCCGTACCACTCTAACCCTTTTTGTCGCACACGTTCCGACGACGTCACTGCACTCTCAGACAACTCTACCACTCAGACTCAGAATAGTCGAGTAGGTGTTGTGCACTCTCCCGTCAGCTCCATGGAAGTAGAAGGTAAACTCGACGTATCTCTGGTCTCTCCGTATCTCCAGGACATGCTCAGTCATGAGTCTGATCCGTTGCGCAACATCGTTCATCGCTTCTTCTTCCCAACCCCCTATCCTATCTCGCCGCAA